CCAACACCCACGCCGCAGGTGCAAACAATCGTTACGGTACCAACAACAGTTGCCACTGAGGCGCCTGTCTTCACAGACGAGGAGCTGGAAATGGTGCGCTCCAAAATACCCCTCTTTGACACGGTGTTGAAGTTGATGGATCCGAAGAAAGTGGCTGCCCTGCGTCAATTAGTGCCCGATTTTCCCAACACCTTGGCCGATTTGGAGCCGAGGAAGCTGGAAATGATCAATTCACACCTCTCTAACATTACGATCACACTCGATGCAGTGAAGGGTGCGCTTCTTGAAGGCTCTCTTTCACAGTTGAAAGAAGGCGATGGTATTTTCAATTCACTTCTTGGCTTGTTCTTTTAGATGACAAGGCCATTCCAGTAGCATTGTTAATGTTCTTACCTATCTGAAGCAGTGATGTCCCCACCTACATGTCCTTTTCCATCAATGTAGCCTTTACATGGTTATAATAAATGTTTACTGTGTCACCCACTGTGTGCTGACTTTCTAATTGATGGGAAAATTGCATCATCTTTCGGAGATGTGGTAGTTCGTTTGGGTATCTTGCGTACTTAGCTCGGCACATCACCACTGGAAAGCCCAATATCAAATCAGCAAAGCTGGGTGGTGTGCACTTATTTCCAGTTGCGAATGATGGGAGTTAGTTATGGCGTAAACATGGAGGAAACAAGTGATTCCGATGAGTCATTAGTTGAGTGGTGACAATGAAGTCAATCCTCGTGAGGCATCTTCTCAGCATCTTCTCAGCATTGGCACGATAACAGCAGTGTTGACTGACGCTTCCCGCATAGATCATAAATGAGCAGTGCACTTGGTCAAGAATGATAGCCTTGAATGGCAGCTCAATGCAAGCAAATGTTGTGCTGTGAGAAGAAGAACCGTAGACGTAGTAGTGGTTGGGAGTATCAGTAGTGCAATCTTTTAGTAGTAAAGAGTATATTACATTGCTAAACCTGTACTCTCTTTCCCTTGTCTTACTTTACAAGGTACC